TAGAAAGTAAGAGGATTTCTAATATATATGGTAGGCAGATTTAAGCGTTGGGAAACTAAAATTTTCTCCCGAAAATATCAAGTATTATGGCTAATAAATTGCTTAACGAAACGCACTGAGATGGTCATTACAATGAAAATGAATAAAATACAATTTTTATGAGATAATCTTCGAAAAAAACATTTTCATTCAATAAAGGTAGGCATTAGCTTCGATTACCATCTCCAATAGATTTATAAATAGCAAGTACCTATTGTTCGTTTTTGTTTAATCACCTTTGTTGAGTTCCTTTAACCATATGGTGAATAAAATATTGAAGCTGCCAAAATACCTCTCTGTCTTCAAATTATCAACACAATTATTCATTTCGCCTTTCTTACTATTTACCTTGATGGGAAAGTGATTGAGATAGGGACATGTACTACTGCTGAATTGACCCAATTTATGGAGTTGTGAAAATCGAAGAAGTGATAATGGAGTCAATAAAATGCTAGTGTTTAGTTCGTATAGGTTTGTCACTTTTCGGGTATTCAGTAAGTAAGCAAACTATATGACCAACAATCGCATTGCTCATTATCATTTCAGCTGATGCCGCTAAGAAGAAACTAGAGTATTGGTGGAAAATACCTTCTGATTTGTTTGAAAATAATAAAATAATGATTAATCATGGGGTGTGCGATAGACTTACCTCCACTTGGTGCACCCTGGTCTCATACGGCAAAAAGTCTATAAACTGGCAGTTTACTTCTGAGTTCAAACTGCCATCAACCCACTGTATGACATATTCGACCCCTTCCGCAGTACATATCCTACATTTTCTCTGTCTTTGTATCTGTCTGCCTGTCTCTTTAACATCTTTGAAGCATTCTTCTGTTCCCCCTCTCCACTTTTTCTCACTTTGATGTTCTTCTCCTCTGTGAAGCCCAAAGTCAGCTAAAGGGCTATCGATAAGTATCATAAAGCTCCCATTAAAATAAATTAATGTTTACTCATAGATTTAAAGCCTACTTAAGATTTATTCTCATCTAAATAACAATGAATGATAAAGGATAAGGAGGCATATTGTTTGCTTGTGAGCGAAATAAGAAAGTATGGCGTTGATCAATAAGTGGTGCCTGTGACCATAGTCTGCAAGTGATGCCCCAAACAACTGCCAAACATTGAACGAAATCTTACAAAAGGAAGTCTTTGCACGAATAGAGAACTTGAAGCTAAATGGCTAGAATCTACGATAGGACTAGGGATTACTTAGAACTCCCTATTTAAATGAATAAGGAGATAAAACGACGGAAACCTGTGACAGTTTATCAGTCCTATAAATATGCTTTAAAAAGAAATTTGTGAAATGACATTCAACTAACTCAAAATGGTCTGATAATTCGAATAATGAATTTTAGAAACTGGCATTCGCCATCAGTGACGATCGTATCTCATTAGGAAAAAAAGAATCTATTTAGTTTTGTAAAGATGTAAAAGGTTCGATTTCGTAATTGGTACAGCTGAGCATAAGCCACTGAATGGTAGAAGATCAGTTATCGACGGAAATCATACCATAATTTGATCATGATATATACGAGCCATATCTGTGCTAAATTTCCAAGATATTGCTAACGAGCAGTCAACTGTTTCTAGAATGATTGATGTGTAATTTAATCGATCAAAGAATTTAATTTGGTGGTCAATATAGTGACCGAAAATTTACTGGCATAAAAAATCGTGCACTTATGTTAGAACAAGTGTAATGAATTCCAATGATTTCAAGTGATTCAGTTTTAGTGAGTTTACTTTGATTGATGACTGAGGAACTTTAAGACTTTCAATCATCTAATTTGATCCAGTCCTTGACATACTTTTCCTGGAAGTCATCGTCAATCAATGCGTTGAAATGCCTCTATAAAAATGCCACCAAGTGATAACAAATATTAGTAGTGTTAACACCAAAAATCAGCTGTGATTATTGAAAAGTTGTCAGTGAACAAAATGTAATTACCCTTAAAAGATTTGTTTTCTTTCAAAGCGCATTTGTTAATTGGACCGATTTTGATTTCATTAGTAAATCTATTATTTCACTAGTATAAATTTAATCTGAAGGTATAAAAGGTCACCGAGATTTAAAGTGATGCACTGACCTTGGTACTGGAGGAGCCATTGGAGGGGGTGGGGGCGGTGTTGGAGGTCGAAGAACATCTTTTGCCGCCTCCAACGCCGATTGAACAGCGATTTCCAATTTGGTCCTTTTCTTCGGTGTGTCTCCCTTTGACTGCCCATCCAAAGTACCTGGTTCATCTACCAACTCAATACAATGACAGGTGGGCAGATCTGCGATCTTCTTCATGATCTGAAACGCAATAAAATTATTGGTTCAACTTTTCGATAAATACTTTATGCACCACCACGAAGCAATCCCATTGAATTATCAATAGGTTAGTAACAAAGGAAGGATATTTAAAATTCCTCAGAGAACTTGGTTTTCTCTCCTCAAATTTTGTTCATTTAGGTTGCGTTACAAGCAATTGGTCAATTTTATTTTGATACTACTAAGGCAAAAACAAGTCCACATGAAAGGGAGATAAATTTAACTAATAATGTATTTCTGAAATTGTGTAAATCTAGTTGGAAATAGTTATTGCCATATTTGCTCAGGTATTTTTTTTATAACATTCCATCATTGGCCTACTTTTCTTGCTCGGTAGATAAGATTTTAGATAAGATTTTACATAAAGAACTTAAGAGGAGGTTGGGGGAAGAGCGAATTCGAGTCAAAACCCAGCTCGTTTATCAACCCGTTTATTAGGGAGTTTAACGATTGCAATCAACGCTATTACTGCTCCACGACTTTTCCCGCGATAGGCAAGAGTGCTCCTAAGAGTTACAAATAAACAAAAAATGAATCTCGGGGAATATCGGCAATCTCCTTCAAAATTAGGTATTAAATTAGACTCTGATTAAATTTCATACTTCAATTTTAAAAATTAATTACATTGGGTCATTATAAGTCAAGCTATTCAGCGCAAAGCAGTAAGTAAGGCATGAAACAATGGATTATTTAATGTTGATATAGGCACAAGTGAGGTTAAAATATCCTTTTTAATTATTTTATAAGCATACTTTATCCATGCATTATTCATACATATACTCTTTTAACGTAATGTGATGTTCCCTAGTTTTATGAAAAATATTATAACAATTTAAATTTTTAGTATAGTACCAAAGTAATAAAATTCTTCTATTGATAAGAAGTGTGCAAGCAAGACAATGGGTTGTTTTGGTTACAGGAAAGGTTTGTTAAAATAAATATGTGATTTTTTTCAGACAGAAAGAAGGAAATGTTATATAAATCCTAATGACCAGCTCTGTTTGATTCTTAATTAGCTAAACTTATTGACAGACGGTGTCACCATCAATGAATTTCGTACAACTGAAATCGCTGTTGTCATAATTTCAAACACAATATGTGGATGAAAGCATTGCTTTTCTCAAAGAGAAATAATCAGCAATACTATATATACAGTGTAGGGTGTGCGATAGACTTACCTCCACGTGGTAAACCCTGGGCAACGTATACTCATACGGCAAAAAAGTGCATTAACCGGCAGTTGACTTCTCACTTCAAGCTACCATCACCCCACTGTATGCCATATTCTACCACTTTCACAGTAATCATTTTACCTTTTCTCTGCCTCTGTGTCTGTCTCTTTTACATCTGTAAACCACTCTTCTGTTCCCCACCCATCAACTATCTGTTACTTTGACGTTCCTTCTCTCTGTGAAGCCCGAAGTCAGCTAAAGGGCCAATGATAACTATCAAAACGCCTGCCATTTGAAATAAATAAAATAATATATACAGTGTATTTTATTCCAATAGATGTACTACTCTAAAATTATAAACGCAACACCTCCTCGTCCCCTCCCCCCACCCCATTTCAATAATTATGTCCAGACACTCATCTGTCATTGTTAGTCTGCTGATTTGTCTACTCGATTTGGAAGGCCATTTGATTTCACTTAACGCCACGCTGAACGCGGCGTCAACCTAATTTGCTCAGCTCTGGCTTTAAAAATAGTCTCCACCCAAAATTCCCATTTTCTTAGATATCCAAAAGTGAAACACTTCATAGAACACTTTTTATGACAACTTACTAAATTATTAGGCAAGAAGTGAAGCGGAAATACGTTAAAAGATACGATATTTTAATTAACATTATAATGTGCTAAATAATTTTGTGACCTAGAAAGCAATGCAAATATTTACGACTGATTACAGAAAAAGACGAAGGTTGAAAACGTTGGCTTGGTCTAAGTGAACCACAAATATCCACAATGCAGATAATGAGGGATGATCAATCAAAACGGAAATAATAGTAGTGCAAAATGGTTGACATTATGATGTTTGCAGTCACAGCTCAATGCCAGCGGATCCTTTAGTGAAAATTAGTTGTTACAAATAAAATGTCAAGAAAAGATGCCCAACTCCCCCCCCCCCTCCCCCAAAGGAACATTTGGGTCGTCAGATGTCAGAAACTGGTAAAAGAGTTGGCTTTCATATATTTAAGACCAAAACCAATATATATCTAGGAAGTATTAATGAGGGCCATGTTTGCTGACACCTACCCGTGGAAGTTCGAATCCTCACCTCAAGGAATGGAGAAGAAAGCCTTACACTGTCCACAAGAGCACTTTTAGTAATACAATGGAACAACTAGGACTTCCAGGACTATATTTCTGCTTGTGTTATTCACTCAGTATATAAAATATAACTTCTTGAGCACTTTTTGCCAATTATGTAAACTAACCATGAAATATTCATGCACAGGTTTTTTTAAGAACTTGCACCACTTTGGAAATTAAGTTTGTGCATTAAAAGGTAGAAAGAACATACTGCATCCTGAGTTGCTATCACCTGACGAACGACCTCACCCAGGGAAGAAAGAGTTTGAGTAACCTCAGTCAATCGATTGTCAACCTCATTGAAACGCTGGAAGTGGGCGTCAAGGTCCTTAAACCTCTTCTCCAATTCCATCCCGATTCCCTAAAGCACATAATAGCAATAGACTTAAGCCTCAATCGGTACTTTTAGGATACAAATAAAACCTCCTGATTGGTTCCATATAAGTCAATATTCTGAATCGACGCACCAGAAATCAATGCGAAAGTGCAGCGTATCCAATATATTCTCCCTAACTGCTTCATAACGTTGTTACTCGTTCCTTCATTCGGATTGCAATAGCTCGATTCATTCTCTTACTTATTTTTATCCCAAATTATAAATTAAATCTAACTTGAGTAAAGAGGCTACACCCCAATAAGCAAATATGACATCATGGGTTTTACTTTTTATGTTTGTATGAGCTATTAATTTGTGTAATAGGAACTGGTGCAATATTAGTTTCTGTCATATACAAAAGAATAACAGTACACTAAAAGTAAAAAACGAAAAGAAAAACGAGTGTATTTGGTCGTCAGTGACAGCTGTTTCCAAATTTCATCTTGTCTTGAAATTAAAAGATTGATGACTCCAGACACGCACATAGAATATAAAAGAGAGGCAGAGTTAAAACCTATTTTGCTCTAAATTTAATTTGTCTTATAAATACGATTAAATAAGAACGTTGAGCTCTTGAACGAAAATTGAGATAAACCTCGGCATCAATAATCAATGCTAGAGAATTTGGGAGGTATCACATATCTTCACACTTTCTCCCCATTAGATAAAGTAGTATGCTTTGAGTATTCTGCTGATTTAGATCAATTTTACGCACCACCCAGAGTGCAAGAGGTCTATTAGCAAAATGGATGATTTTATGATAGAACATAGGATTATCGTGCAGTATATGCACTACTTTTTTTAGAATTTCCAAAGAATTGTTGTAATTTATTTAACCTAGCTGATAATACAAGCGTTAAATTGTTTAATACATAAAATGTAAGGTTAGGGTCAGTTCATACCAAACTAGAAGGATATGACTTTCCAAAAGTATATTTGAATTCAGGGGTGAGCGATAGACTTACCTCCACGTGGTGCACCCT